TGAAAGTGAACCAAAATAACCTACATTATTTATGAAACTACAACATAAAAACCCACACTTTTTCTGGAACTACAACATATGAACCACACTATTTCAGGAACTACAATATAATAACTCACACTATTTCTGAAATTGATCCAAAATAACTCACACTATTTATGAATGATAACAAAATAAACATCATTTCTGAAATTAGAACAAAATAACTCACACTAATTATGGTTTTGAACCAAAAATAATTCACACTATTGCCGAAACTATTGCAAAATTATAATTATTTATGAAACTGAAGAAAACACACTTTCTCATGGTTATAAAAGTCGTTAGGTATTATTCGGATAGCAGACTGGAGCTTAGGAGGACTAGACAGATGTAAAGTAAATTTATTATCTATCTTTGTGCTTTGGTAAATTTTTATAGAATGAGATGAATGTTTAAATAATTACAACTCCATGGAACTTTACAAAATATTTTTTAAAAATCTTATGAATTTATTGTAAATTTAAAACAAAATAAAAGTGTTAAACATGTGATGTAAAAAGCATTTGAACATGAAAAAAACGCATTTGGACAACAATTTAAGAAAAAAAAATTAAATAAAAAAGGGAGGGAGCACCATGATGTGACGCCTCAAAGAAGGGAGGTGTTATGGAAAGCAAATTAATAAGAGAAATGATAAACACACACCTTTTATAGCTTCCTACACACCCCTGATTAATCATGTTTGTTGTTTTCGTTTAATTTATTCAATCTGATGGCCTAGAACAAAGACGGGTGTGAGAAAAGCTATAAAAGGTGTGTGAAAATCAGCTCCCATTAATAAAACATTAAATATGAAAGGGTGAGATCGTGTGGGGTGGGAATGAAGAGAGAACATGTTGAGATACTAGTAGGGATGAGTAACGGTTGATGGGCGGGTAACCGCGGATATTTACCTATAACAGTTTATGTTCGTACCCGTATAACCGTTTACCGGTTAGGTAAACCGTTTATAAACGATTATACCCATTCCCATAATCGTGTACCTATTTAACCATAACTGTTTACTTATTTAACCATAACCGTTTATCATTTTTTTTACCCGTTTACCCATTTTTTCACCCATCTACATGTTTTTTTTAACAACTTGAAAATTACAAAAGAAAAATTTGTCATAATTTTCGTTATAACTGCGGTATGTGCTTAACAGTACATCGTTATAATGGGTATCAATTTAAAGCAGTCTGTACAAAACCTAGCTAGTTCTGGAATCACAAATGCTCGGCTTTCTCCACCCTCTCATGCTATTTTAGATGATGGTATGTATCCGTCCTAAACTCTCTTTCGAACCTTGTCATTAGTCTAGACCAGATTTTCTTTTAAGTTTTTGTGTTATACGACAATTCTTGTATTGAGGCTCATGAACGAAGCTAGAAATTTAACTATGAGGGGCACCTTAAAAAATTTGAGTTTTTTTTTTGGACAAATAAAGCTAGTTCTTTTACAAATGCTGAAAAAATTAATTTCAAAATGCCTAATTTTATTACTCTATTGTCTAATTTTGTCTTTAATTGTTGACAATCTAATGCTCCTTTATACTAATTAACCAAATACATGCAACTCAACAAGGTTTAGACATTAGTGCGTGAGAAAAATATACATGAGGGAGACGCATTTAAAAACTAAAAGAGAATTTTCACTATTTAAATACAATTAATTGAATAATCTGCAAAGCAAAAAACATGAAAATGATTAATTGAATAATTTGTAATGCAGAAAAAATGGGATGAGAGCGGGCATGTGCCCCCATTGGGTCTTACCCCTCTCCGTCCATACTGAGGCTTCACCTCATAGCTTTCCTTTCTACGGATACATGCCGGGAAGGCTCTATGATCTCAATACAAAATATATAAACAAAGATGAATTGAAGTCACTGATAAGCACATACCGCGGCAATGGAATACAGTATGTGGCAGATATAGTATCCGTTATAAGCAGTTATAACCGTCATATATTGAACATTACAATATATAAACAAAGATGACATTCGTTACAAAAGTAAAAAGAAAAACAAAAATAAAGATTAGTTTTTTAAAGGGAACTTTAACGAAAAGCTTCCGGTACTGTTCACTTTAACGAAAAACCACATTTTTACACTAAAAAGTCAATCCTGGTACTATTCATTTTACCTTTTATTTTGTCCTTTTCATTAAAATTCAAAGTTTTCAAGCCCTTTTCATTAGTTTTCCTTTTTTTAAATTTTACATATATTAAATTAAATGGGTAAATGAATACCCGTTATAATAGCAGGTAATACCCATAATCGATGGATACACGTTATAATAGCGGGTAATACCGATAACCGCCCATTTAAATTTCACAGATAAACGGTTATACCCATAATCGTTTGTTCCTCTAAACGGTTACCCATAACAGTAACCGTGAACTTTAAATTACCCAAATTCATGGGTATTTTGCCCATCCCTAAATACTAGATGTCCAAATTACATTGGAAAGCAAATTAATAAAACATTAAGTATGAAAGGGTGAGATCACGTGGGGTGGTTTTTAAATATGAAATGTTGAGATCACGTGGGATGAGAATGAAGAGAGAAACTTATATTCTTCCTCTCTTTCCGTTAGGGGTAATTATGGAAAGTCATGTTTAAGTTCGTAATGCTTTTACAAATTCTGTTCATTTGTTTTTATACAGTTCAATTACTAAATGACCTTGGTTTTAACTAAATTTTTTACAGATAAAATCTTTATAGAATAATTTATAATATGACCGGTACTGATTATAAAACTGAAGTTTTATAAATCCCCTTCTACTTCTTATTTGAATAGTCAAGTATTATTTATATTTGGTGAGCCTATCGGGTACAGTGTATGGAGACCCCATCATACCGAGCAAAAATAGACGGTTCATCGACTTTATTATGGTGGTCCAATAAACTAGGACATGCTTTGTCATAGTAGGGTACATAACGCGAACTGGGCAAATATAATGCAAACATCATTATTGTTGTTACGTTAATCACATGTAGCTTGTATGTGTGTGGTTTATACTAAAATATCGGAGATTTCCAACAATAATAATTTTTTTTTTAATAAATAATAGTATCTACTTTAAGATGGTGGAGGATTGGGTTAAACCTTATAATGAGTTTGTCATAATAATATGGTTCAACTTCGTATTTGGCGAGAATCAAATCTAAAACATCTCATTTATGAGTGAAGATGAATATCACTAGACCGTAGTACTAAATGATTGTTTCACTTATTTTTAATTTATTTCTCATAAAATAGAGCTCGTATTATCGAAATTGCTTGGGTCCTTTCCTAGAAGTAGAAATTCATAGATTTTATCAATAGAAAATTAGATATACATCCAATTTCATGAGCACTTATAGTCCAAACATAATGTCCGTTACTAAGTTAGGGCCAGTCACTCATTTGTGACTTAGTCTAGGCGTACAGGCCTCCATCTTCTTTTGCACGTAGCCTGAACAAGGATGACCTTCCTTGTCCTCTGAAGCAGTGACTTAGTTTGGGCACACAAGTCTGCATCTTCTTTTGTATGTAGCCTAAACAAGGATGACCTTCCTTGTCCTTCAAAACAGTGACTTAGTCTGGGCACACAAGCCTTCATCTTCTTTTGTATGTAGCCTGAACAAGGATGACCTCCCTTCTCCTCCAAAACAGTAGGGATGTCTGTTTGCTTTTGGTGGGATGACGTCTGGGCCTCTTGTGGCAACATTCTTTTAAAGAAAAACTAATGAAAATAACTTGAAAATTTTGAGTTTTAACGATAAGGACAAAATAAAGGGTAAAATGAATAGTACTAGGATTGACTTTTTAGTGTAAAAATGTGGTTTTTCGTTAAAATGAACAGTACCGGGAGCTTTTCGTTAAATTTCCCTTCTTTTAATCCCTGTTTTATGCATTTATGTTTATGCGTTTGCCTTAGTTGGCCCTGTGTACTCCGTTCTGGCCATTTCGTGCCCTGGCTAATGAATTCTAGTATCTATAAAAATAAAAATAAACTAATAGCTAATTAATTGAGATATCATTTCTTTAATTTTAAGATTGATCATTTACATCACTTAGTACTATAGTCTAGCAGTATTCATCTTCACTTGTATGTGAGAGGTCTTAGGCTCAGGGTTTAGGGTAAGAAAATGAACCTACATCATTTGTTGATATTATGAACCTGCAGGGTTGGGTAAACACTAGTTTTAAGAACCTACAGCCCAGGTTCACTAATGAAACAAACCTAGAACATAGATTCACTTATTCCGATGATCAAACCTATCTCTGTTGAGAAACTATTCAAAGTGTATAGAGTTATTATTCCGTTATTCTTTTAGTTTACCAACATCAAACACAAAATACTAATCAAGGAATTGATACAAGTTTGAATCTTTCAATTTGATTTTTCGACTTGCGTAAGTATGATTTTGGCGTTGGACTGGAGCTTGCACGTTTGGGAGCAGTGGATTTGTAACGTAAAGGGACTAGACAGAAATGTAAATCATTGTACTTCCACTATAAATAACCAAAAGTATCATATATTCATATATCTAAAATTATTGCATGGTACCACTACTAGAAATTTCGGCTTTACAGACAAAATTTGTTTGTCAGCAAAAGTCAAAATTTGTTAGCAAAGAGTCTTTTTCGACAAAAATTTTCATCGGCTATTTTGTTGCGCAAAGCATATCGTGCAAAAACTTTCCCGACGAATTTGGGTATTTCATCGGCTAAGGTTCAACTTTTGTCATCATTTACATTTTTCCCGACAAATATTTTCATCGATAAAGGCCTTTTAAGCCGACAAATAATACTTTTCACCCAACAATATGTGTTTGTCGCCATGAATATTTCGTCGGCAAAGTCTTCTCTCTCCTAACAAAATTAGTTTCGTCAGGAAGACAATTAATTTATAAAATAAAAAAAATAAAAAAGATGCTTTAATGCTCAGCCACTACATATGCACATCAAAATACAATACACAAAAATTGTTAAAAAATAATACTTTATTGATCGATAAGTTTGGAACGTACATCTAGAGTAATTATACAAAAGCATGTCACATAATAAAATTATCCTACTGTCATTCCTCAAAATTGGCTGCCATGTAGCATCACAACACATCTTGCATCTTGCCCCTGCATAATCACAACCATCTAGCACTAGCACCTGCACAATCACAACCATCTTGCACCTGCAGCATACTTGAGAGCAAAGAACCTGTAACAAAATACCCAACAGAGAAGATTAATACCTATATCACATATGACACAACTTCCTAGCCAACAAACACATTGCCAATATACTAAGAAAAGTACCGTCTACAATTAATAATATCTCTGCTGTGTATAATTTGAAGATCATTTCAAGTTACTAGTCATCAATTACCCAAATGAATCTTCACTTATTCCACCAAAACCTTATAAATCCTTTCATGCAGCTGTAGCTCATATTGACAATCCTAAATGTGAACCATCCACTCTATTTAAAATTCAAAATGTATATGGCTTAGCTATTTGTGATGAAGTTAAATAAAGATAAATTTACTGAATGACTACATGGTGAATGAAGGCTTTCAGCACAAAGTAGTAGTTGTAACAACATGCTCCAAACCGACACATACAATTGTACAATAACATTTAAGGGTTCAGGGATTTGAAATTAACCTTGACTAGTGAACGCATTCTTTGTCCATGATAACAGGCCTTTCCCTCTACTACTACAAGTTAGCATGTCACAAGCTGCCAATCTATGAATTTTTGTCAATGAAGAGAAATAAAACTTGCAAACTTTCAAATAAACACTTTCAAGTCTAACTAAGTTTGTAAGGAAACTTACACCCTTAGATTCATTCTGCAACTTTAGGGTTGACAATTGTATTAAAAATTTGCTACTTCATTCTCTTCATAAGCAGTTCCTATAAAACCACCTTTAGTAAATAATGCCTCGCCAACAAACCAAAAGGTATCTATGTTGCATAAAGAAATAATTCATATTTGGATAGGATTAAACTGATTCCAAAAGTTTCAAGGAAGAAAACTAATCACAGAATTTCAGCCACGTGAACACATGTTGCAAAAAATAAATTAAAAAAAATGATTAAAGTAAGTAATGGATACTAAGTCAACTATTAAATCATGAGCAAACAATTAAAAGGTTTGCAGTTAGGTACAAACAAACTCATTTCACCAAAATGCCAAAACAATACTAAACCACATTTTTTAAATTGATAATAAAATCACAACCTTACCTTTGTTCACTTTTGAATAGGCATGACACTACAGCCTGCTCAAATTGGTTAAGAATTCAGAAACCAAAAAGGTAGCATTCCCAGTTTTAGATCAAATGGCCAGCACAAACAAGAACACAAACTACAACATACTTTAAAATCAGAATTCACCATCACAAGGCACTTGTAAATGTAAGAAGCTGTTATCAAGTATATGGTTGCCATTACTCACACCACCCCCATCAACGTAATTTCATTGCTCTTAACATCTTGAGACCATTTTTCTTGCTAATTCAGTTTCACAGTCAAGCTTGGAATTAAAATAAAATAAAAACTGTTTATTAACTGAAACAGTAAAATATACAGAGAATGACAATCTCACAAGTACCATGACCGAATTTCAAATGATTACACAGAGGAATTGATTATTATGCTGCAAAGACTCACAATCAATTTCAACTATAAAATTATTACTGCAGATTGATTGAAGTTCCCCAGAAATTGAAGTTAAAAGTAATTTCCAGAACATGGATTAAGCATCCTCAATCCCAGGAAACCCAGAAAGATAAACTACAAACCCTAACTAAGGATCCTCAATCAAATCATTGCCGAAAACCCCTCAAAATTACAGTGGAAAACAGTCTAAGGAAGGAACCATAAAATTGAGATTAAATAGAGAGTTGAGGGAAAAATTAGAATAGATAGGGTTGAAAACATTACCCAAACGTTTAAGAGAAACACTCTGTATTGGAGATTTCTAAGCTAGAATAGCAGGGGCCCTTCGACGGCAACGGCAACAGCAACGGAGAGTAGATGAAGCGACGGCGACGCCTAGAAAGAAAAAAAAACAATGTCGACGGAAAGCGAAGAGCGGCGCTTTGTGGCTTGTGAGAGAGAGAGAAGAGGGACGGTTATCCAAAAATAATAGGGCTTTTCACTGTTCGTGAACAGTAAAATGTCGGAAATACCCTCCAATTTTTCTTATCTTTGCCGTGCTTTTCCTTATGTGTGCAGTGAATTCCCAGTTCTACCCATTCATCCCAAAGGTGTTCTGTCGTTTCTTTCTCTCCTTCCGTTCATGTGTTTCACTTTACCTTTCTCCATTTTCTGCTTTAGGGCTTCTGCTTTCCTCGGCCATTGTCGTTGTGTGCCTTCAATTCTCTCGATTTCTTCCTTTTTGTTTCGCAATTTTATCTCCGGCGAGACACGATCTTTGATTTTTTGCAATCATTGTTCGCTGTTCTTCTCTATTTTTGGCTGCGATCTGTGCGTTGCATCGATTTTGTCTTTTTCGCCGTTTTGTTTCAAGCCTCTCTTTTGAGAGGATCGGTGCATATTAAGGTTGGTGATATTCAGATTTTTTTAGTTTTGCTTTCCAGTTTTATTTCATTTTTGGTTGTCTTGCCCATCAATTTGTTCGCAGATTTTCGCTCCAATTTGGGTGATCTCTCTTCTGAGAGAATTGGTGCATGTTGAGGTTGGTGATTTCCAGATTAACTATTACATTTTCTTCATTTAATTTTTTTTCCTGCACATCTATACAAATACCAACGCTGACAACCAAATTAACTATTATATGCTATACCGAGATTATTTACACAAATTTAGCCTTTTCATAGATGCAATTTTATGTTTGATTTTAAATTGGCTAAATATATCAAACTATTTTTTAACAAACATTTTTTCAATAATTTTTTGGCTAAATATATTCAAACTATTTTTTAACAAGCATTTTTTCAATAATTTTTTAACACACAAATAAGATAGTCTTGAACACCACTGGTTCTTCGCTTTTATTCATTGATCCAGATATTCCGGAAGTAAATTCATAAAATCAGTGTAAGTTCGTTTACAATTTATTTAAAAAAAATGTTATATGCTCTTACAATACAAGAAAGGCTACTCTCACAAAATGTATCAACTAATGTGCTATTTTAAACTCTGCAGCTTTTCCAAATGCACAGAGCCTTTTAAAAATACTGCTACCCTCTACAAAACAAGCCAGTAAAGCTCAAATATTGCAGACAGCAAAGAAGGTAACAATTGAAGAGTTGGCTTTTTTAGATCCAAATTTGTACAAGGTATTAAATCTGTTTATCTTTTGTTAAAAATGTTGAATGCATGTTGACACATTTGGTTAAAAATATCAATATTATTAATCCTGCTTATACAAGTCTTTGTTAAATTGTTTTACAGAACGAAACCTTTCTCCGCAAAGAATCTGTCAAGCAGTTTGACGCACACTACGATTGGTGGTACAGTGCTTGCCTAAACAGTGCCAAACAAATGCACAAATATCGAACAATTGGGCAATGGATTTGTCAAAAACATGCAAACCAGCTACCAACTCCTAGGTAATTTTTAACATGTTATGATTAACTTTTATCACCAATTGCACAAAATATTTCTTGCATTTCTTCTTTTTTGCCTATGCCTCATGTTACAATTTACTGCCTACAATTATTGGTGTTCTAATAATTTTTAAATCTCAATGTTATGCAATTAGAAAGAGGTCGCACTTGGTGCGATGGCAAGTGCCTTCGCCCATGAGCGGTAGGTCTCGGGTTCGAGACTTGGGAGCAGCCTCTCCATAAATGGGGGTAAGGCTAGCCGACATTTACCTCTCCCAGACCCTGCGTAAAGCGGGAGCCTTGTGCACTGGGTACGACCTTTTTAATGTTATGCAATTAGAAATCCATTCCATCTTATTGGTTAAAATTATTGTTGTCATAATGGTGTCTTTCATAGAAACAGTTTAATTATAGTTATATACAAATGAAAAATCTATGCTTCCCACTTAAGTGGTATTGGAAAATTCTAAATTGATATTAGTCAATCAAAGTTTTCATCATATGATGGGTTTAAAAATCTAGATTCTGCATTTGTCTTTCATTGCCTATGTATATGTTAATTAATCAGTCTGTTCCTGGATCTAGGGGAGAAAATGTTCGATGGAATAATTTCTTAGATGTATTGCCACATCCCCAAGGATTAGGTCCACTTTTTACAGGTCAGTTGAATATTTATGCTCAAAATCCCGATTCAAGTAGTCAATATATAAATGAAAAATATTAAATCAAAATAAATAAATGTAAACAATACTGCTAAAAAACTAATTTCATTAAAAATATTTGACATTCATTATTTACTCAAATGGTTATCCACTATGTCAAATAATTTGTTCAAATTCTTTTCTTCCGTAAGTTTTCATTCTTCTTTTTCACGTACTTCATATCAATTGATCTTCAAAATGTCTTGATCAGAAAGAGTAAACACTAAACAATTTTTCTTAACGTGTTTTCTTTGGCTTTGTTTAAGAAATATATTTTTGATGATCAATCTTATCTAATTTAAACTTTTATACGCAGGTACAAACTAAACTTGGTCCTTGAGGACGAAACCAATGAAATGAATGCTTTAATTATTGGCAAATCTGGTGAGAAGCTTTTTGGCACAACCTGCAGAGATTTAGTTCGGGTTTACCCACATACTCTGGTGAGTTTTGTGTCTTTCTCAGTGTGCCTGATTATTTTTTTTTTTTATGTGGTTTTCGATTAACATATGAATTTTGTGTTTAAATTTTCCTTTTGTAATTTTGTCTGTGCGTTTGGATGCTCTGCATGGCTGTTTGATTTGCTTCTTTTGTGCTTTCAGGGGGCGATTTCTAAAGACGATAGAGGTAAAGCTTTCTCCAGGACCCTCCATATGCAATATTCATTGACGTGGGTATTTATTTTTTGTTAGTTACTAATTTTAATTTTACTTATATTTGTGACCATTATTAAATTTTAATGATTTTTTTTTAATTTATTTTTTAATTATTGAATTTGAATGAAAACAGCAAAATCTCAATTGGGTTTTGATTTTTGAGAGGTATCTGAAATGGGGTTTTCTACTCTGCCTTCTGCTATTTGCTCCACCGCCGCAATAACTTTTGTGTTTTCTTCTATCCCGTAGAATCCGCTCGATTTTAGATTGTCTGAGTCCTGTGATTTTGTGATAATCTTCCATGGTAAATGACTTTTGTTCGTCTCAGTTGGTCTAAATTTCAAATTTTCAGTTAGATTGTTTGTTTTGGTTTCGTTTTCTGCGCATGATGAGCTTCAAATTGAGATAATTTTAATTTTTACTTAATGTGTTAATACTTCTATGCAGGTATTTCCTTTGTTTTGGATGAGTCTCAATTGCCCAGTGCATATAGTTTGGTTCAATTTTCAGCTTCTTAAAAGGCTAGGCTAAAGCATCTTTGTTTTTTACTACCCAATTGCTTATTTTCACCAAATTTATAGTTTCTTCTCTCTCTATATCTCTCCTCAGCTGCATGGATGACAAGAGGAAGTACAAAGGGATGCATTTGGCTCCCACTTTTGAGGTTCCTCCCATGAGCAGGCACCCAAAAACTGGCGACTGGTGAGCACAAAAAAAAATTGATTTTTTTCTTTTCTTAATTTGATATAAAGTTTGGATTTTGAAGTGTGGGTTGGATTTAATTGTTCGTTTAATTTGATGGGTTTGGTTTAAATGGAAAGACTCTGCTTTCATTAATGATAAAATATTGATTAAATTTGAAATAAGAAATTGGGTTACTCTTCTATACCTTTTTTGTGATGATTCACTAAGAATTTGCTAATTGTTTTAATGCATATGAGATAGGGTTTCTGCTTTCTAGGGTCCGTTTCTAATCTTTAGAGACTGCTTGATTTGGTATTGTCAAATAGTATATGGATTTCCATGTTCATTGTGTCAGTATGTTGTTGCGGTAGTTTAATGGGATGCAATATAAGGTAAGGTGTTCACATGAAACCAGACACAGGGAGGTGTCCTCGATTCTCGGGATAAAGTCCTATATATGATGAATCTTTGTACTTTAGAGTTTTGATTTAGGAGATTCGACCAGGGTCACATTCAATTCCTATTGAACAACAAAATCATGTTGGTGATTGTGAAAAAGGGATTGTTTCCGAAAAGCAAAGTAATGGATTAACAAATAAGATATGTTGGCTGATAATAGCTAACTGTTTTTAAATTATACATTACATTTCCTATTGAATCTTTCCTGATGACCTATCTAATCTTTCTTTTCCCAGAAATATTTTCATCATGTGTTGAAGCAACAAAAAGACTACGCAGTTGCATCGTGAAGTACATAGCTCACTTCTCCTATTAAATGTACCCCATTGTTCAGATCCTTCGCAGCAGGAATTCCCAGCCCAAAATTTTCTGAAAGTGTAAGTGTCTCAGAAGTTCAACTCTATTAAACAATAAGCTATTAGTTTAATGATTGCCACCTGCTTTTGGCAGGTGAAAATTTGATGTCATCTTCAACTTTCCTCATGCAAGCCATTACTCTAGCCTACGCGAAAAGGACTTTGAGCTTATTGAGTAAGTCACTAATTATTAATTCAATTAACATTTGTTTTTGCATTCGTCACGTATTTAGCATAATTCATTTTAGTATTTAATTCATGGGGATTAAGGCCAAGTTAGTGATTAAGGCCAAATATTTACTAACTAATACGAAAACATTGTTTGGTTACAATTTAGGAAAATGACCCAAGTTCAAAACCCCTCTCCTCCAATTGCATAACACACAAGTTCCTCTTTCTTACAGACAATGAACAATTGATTGTTATGTATGAACCAACCCTTTCTTTTTAATACAAACGATGTTGGGTAAGGGTAATCGAATTTGGGAATATAGAAAGTAAAAATGATTGCTTCTTTGTTCAAGCCTGAATAAAAACAAATAGGGTTATAATTAGGATAGCTTCTCTCACCGCTTACATTTACGTTGCCACATTGATATTTTTGTATTCTATTATCTAATTATAAAAAATTTACTGTATTTGTTTTATGGAGAGAATAAAGTTGCATATTTTTCATACAGTTTTCCATCCCGCAGCAACGCGCGGGTACAATTTCTAGTTATATATACTAAAACTCAGTTGAGTTTTAGCACTGTTCAGCAATAGTAAAAGGGCGGAAATGCCCTTGATTTGTTTGGGGTTTAGGTGCTGCTGAATTGCTTTGTACAGTTAAATGTAATTTTTGCCCCCGCTAGGTGGGCTGTCTTCAGCTACCCGAAAAGTCCTATGCCTTTTTTATCTCACCTGTTGAGGGATTTGGTTTATTTTCTCGCCGTTCTCATCAATTTTCTACCTACCTCAAACTGCCCTCTCATCTTTTCATCTCTCCCCCAAATTATCTGTGCGAAATCAGTGAGCCTGTTTTTGGTTGCTAGAAAAAAGTTTGGTTGATACAAATTTCCTGCGTTCAAAATCCCTCAATCGCTACGAATTTTGTTCCTTTTTTGGGTCAAAGGTCTACAGTTCCTGGGTGAGTTTTTTTTTTTTTTTTTACTTCTTTGGTATAGTTGTTTTAAATTTTTCTTGGTGGTTTTCGATGTTCAGATGCTTTTTGCATATGAATTTTGGATGGTTTTTGTATATGAATTTTGTTTTTATAATATTAGGTATTTTGTTTCTATGCTTAGATTTTAAACTTTTTTGGGGTAAAATATTTAATTACATCATGTCATGGGTTTTTATGGGTTCAATTGGCAGTTTTGATTTTCTTTCTCTTTTCTTTCTATTTTGTTTCCATTCCACTACTGTCTCTCAATTTGTGTTGCCTCTCTGATTCTGGCTTCCGCGTGTGTCAAACGATAGAAACCGGCTGAAGTCAATTTTCTGAGGCTTGGTTTTGCTCCTTGGGCCACTGCCCTGGAGATTAAATTATCAAAATTCGGTGTTTCCACGTTGCCGATTCCAATTAGTCGTTGCTAAGAGGATCAAATTGGTGAATTTCAAAACGAAAACGTTTTTCCTAATTGATTTCCTTGCTTTTGCCGATTATTGTTGGCTTTAATGCATGTTGATTTTTTATTTTCAATAATTTTGCTAATGTGGTTTGCGATTTTTGTTCTTCATTTTGTTCAGATTTTGTTGTTTTTAGGTTTTTTTGCTTTCCTAATTTTGAGTGAGTTATTTGTGATCATTTTGCATTTATCAAAATTAAACTAGGGGAAATTGGTCTCTATGTTGTGCCAAATCTTTACAGATTACATTTGGCTTAGTTTTGTTGATTTTATTTGGTCTATGTAGCTATTTTTTGCCTGATTTTTCTTAATCTTATATGCTTAGGTTGTAAATTGTGGCTTTCCAGTATTTTGATTTTGTGGTCTTTAACTAATACACAATTTGCTCTAAGGTAGAAGGAAAATAAAGTCAAGTATACAAATGAGTTAGAAAGTAAGGTGTGACTATTTTGAAGCACCTGTGATGCTGCTGTTATATTTTGGGTACGTTTTCTGTCCTGCTTTTTTCCAGTTTGGAGATGCACTGATAATTGTTGGATTAAAATGGATTTGTATTTTTTGGGAAGAAATGAGAGGAGTCGTTGGAATTTTAGAAAGCTTTGTGTTTCTACCTTTTATGTGACAGAGGGAATACAGACAGGGAGAGGAAGAGAGAAAACATTAGTTTAGATTGCAATTTTATGAGTTTTTATGTTAGTGTTGGAACCAATGTATTTTGTTGGGAAATTGATAATATGTAAAGTTATTAAGATTTTGGAAAGATTTGTCTTTCTCAGTTTTATCTGTCGGAGGGAACACAACTCTTACATATATGATTTCAAGTTGTCCCTTTAGAAATTCAAGCTTTATTGAATACATGAGGTGTAAGAAACTGTTTGGGATATTTTCAAGTTTTTCCGATTCCTGAAAAAAAAAAAAAGCATGCTTAAGAGTAATTATATTTTAATTTTTATTGAATTCAGGTAACCATCTTTAGGTTTTTTGCTTTGATTTGAAGAATTTCTTACCCAGGAAAGCCAGGGCTTCCTGATGAGTTCTTTGGGTTCCATATCTGGCATCTTTGTTTTGTTCAAATTTGGGGCGTTTGTGATTTGGGATTTATGTGCTGTCTTATCAACTCTTAATGTTGAATTAGGTAGCTATTAATGTTGGATTAATCAAAGTTGGGCATCAGTTCATATGTTTTTCAATGTTTCTATTCTGATTTAATAACGTGATTTAATAGTGTGATGCTGACTTAGGCTATAAATTCAGAGGCTTTTGAATAGCCAAATTTGCAACGAATTTCAGAGGCTGTTGTATCATTAGCTGAAATATACTACGTATAATCCTTAGACATCATTTTTCACTTTGATTAAGATGTGTGCCTACCTTCTCAGTTTTTACCATTGTAGATGCGGGTGGTATAAATTTTTACTTAAAAAATTGAACTCGAAATGAAAACCCAGGTGAAAAAGCATGGAAACAACTCTTGCGTAGAAATGACTTCTGGGAATGAATTTTCTTGAGATTTGATCCCAGCTATTTGATAAGAGTCGGGTTTTATAACTTAAACCATTTCCAATAACTATTTGGAAATAGGATGAATAATTAATCGTCAAAAAGTGAGTTCATACATATGAAATCATGTTTAAGCTTACTTTTTCCCTTATGAATATTTCTTATTTTGATAGGTTGATGCTTGGGTTATTGAGAATTTAGCATCGGTAGCAAAATATCTATCTTGCCCAAATTATGGGACACGGCTGTAGTTCTTATTTTGATAATTTTTTCTTCTTTCTCTCTTTGATACTTTTCATGTGTATTCACTTGGGAAAAGTACTTAAGTCTTAATGATATTAATGCTGCAGGATATAATTTCTTCTGCAGCCATAAAATCTATAAACAGATTTCCAAGTTTACAAGGAGGTTGTTGGGTTGAGTTTGGTTACACAGATAACGCTGCAGTATACCATGCAAAGGCTTTTTTTCTTTCCTTTTGTCCCATTTTTGGGATTTTGGTTACAAAATCCATTTTTAGCATAGGTGTGAAATTTACAGTAGGGTTAGTAAGTTAATTAGTTAATTTCATTCTCAATGTGCACAAATGTTGTTCTTGCATTAATTCATTTTCTTTGTATCGAAATTGAATAAATCTAATTCTCCTTGATATCCACTCATTCTGCTAAGATATTTATGTTGTTTCTCTCATGCTCTATCACAATATATCAGTTACTTTAATAAATTTAGTTCTAAACGTTTTCTCAACATTGATGATCTTACAAAACTCAGTGATGTACTCATCTAATTTTTAAGTTTTAAGTCTTTTTAATGAATAGTTTGGTATTTAGGCAGCTTTGATCTTTGATTTTAAATATAAGATTTTGTCTGATTATTTCTGATCCTCAGTTTCTATTGTCATTTACGGTTTAATGGACATTCTTGAATCACATTGGTTAACACCAAACAAATGGTATGTGTCATATTTCTCTTTTTCTATTCCTTTTCTTTCATACAGAGTTTTGTTTGAATGCCATCATTTTCACAGCCCCTTATACACCTTTGATTTAAACTTCATCGTTCTTTAAATATCTGTATATATTATGCTCACACTTTTGTAATCCCGCAGCAACGCGCGGGCACTATTTCTAGTTGTATCTAGATTTAAGGGGAAGATTCTTTCGACGAAAAAATTAAAGGGGGAAATGCAAAAGACAAAAAATAAAGGGGCGGGAAGGAATTAATAATTTGGGTCACTCCCTTTACAACGAACCAGGATGTTTTCACCAAACTTTAGTTTATTCGTCGGCTTGAATGTTCTCAGCCAACAAAATTTTGGTAGGTATAGGTCTAGATGTTTGGAGCCGACAAAGAACATTTGGGTAAATCGCTAAAATGGTCCCTGAGATTTGCATAACTCATCAGTTTGGTCCCTGAGATTCCAAATCGATAAAAGTGGTCCCTTAGATTGTCCACTATTTATCATTTTGGTCATTCCGTTAAAAACTCCGTCAAGTGTCCCGGAACTCTTGGCAGAAAGTTTGGGCAATTTTCAAAGCATCGTAACTTAATCGTTTCTTAACCAAATTTGATCCATGATATATCAAAATGAAGATGGGAAACTGTAGAATAAGATTATACCTATTTCGAAGTCCAATGGTTGTCGGAGATGTCCTAAAAAATAGCCTCAAACTTGACTGGTCCGAGTGAAAACTTGCAAACTCTCCAGAGTAAACTTTAAACGTTCATAACTTCTTCAATACTCAACGAAATCAAGCGATTCAAAAATGAAAATCATACTTCTTGACGAGACAAAGAGAATGGTCCTTTTTTTACGGCTAAATCTCCATGTTTTGGCCGGAAAAAGTCTCGAAAGTGGCTGTCTTGGTTTCGAGTAATCCAATTTCGAGAGTTTTCCGATCAAACCATGGCTATTTATCAGTCCAACAAAGTATCATTCTCTTTGTCTCGTCGAGAAGTATGGTTTTTGTTTTTGAATCACTTCATTTCGTTGAGTATTGAAGAAATTATGAACATTTAAAAGTTTTTGGCGAGTTTTCAAGTTTTCACTCGGATCGGTCAACTTTGAGGCTATTTTCCGACCATATCCGGCAACCATTGGGCTTCGAAATAGGTATAATCTTATTCTACACTTTCCTATTTGCATTTTGATATATCATGGATCGAATTTGGTTAAGAAACGATTAAGTTACGAAGTTTTGAAAATTGCCCAAACTTTCTGTCAAGAGTTCCGGGACACTTGACGGAGTTTTTAACGGAATGACCAAAATGATAGATAGTGGACAATCTAAGGGACCACTTTTATCGATTTGGAATCTCAGGGACCAAAATGATTGAGTTATGCAAATCTCAGGGACCATTTTAGCGATTTACCCAAATTTTCTTTGTCGGCTCCAAACATCTGGACCTATGCCTACCAAAATTTTGTTGGCTGAGAACATTCAAGCCGACGAATAAGCTAAAGTCATCCTGGTTCGTTGTAAAGGGAGTGACGCAAATTATTAATTCATTGCCGCCCCTTTATTTTTTGTCTTTTGGATTTCCCCCTTTAATTTTTTCGTCGAAAGAATCTTCCCCTTAAATCTAGATACAACTAGAAATAGTACCCGCGCGTTGCTGCAGGATTACAAAAGTGTGAGCATAATATATACAGATATTTAAAGAACGATGAAGTTTGAATCAAAGGTGTATAAGGGGCTGTGAAAATGATGGCATTCAAACAAAACTCTGTATGAAAGAAAAGGAATAGAAAAAGAGAAATATGACACATACCATTTGTTTGGTGTTAACCAATGTGATTCAAGAATGTCCATTAAACCGTAAATGACAATAGAAACTGAGGATCAGAAAGAATCAAACAAAATCTTATATTTAAAATCAAAGATCAAAGCTGCCTAAATACCAAACTATTCATTAAAAAGACTTCAAAATTAGATGAGTACATCACTGAGCTTTGTAAGATCATCAATGTTGAGAAAACGTTTAGAACTAAATTTATTAAAGTAACTGATATATTGTGATAGAGCATGAGAGAAACAACATAAATATCTTAGCAGAATGAGTGGATATCAAGGAGAATTAGATTTATTCAATTTCGATACAAAGAAAATGAATTAATGCAAGAACAACATTTGTGCACATTGAGAATGAAATTAACTAATTAACTTACTAACCCCTACTGTAAATTTCACACCTATGCTAAAAACGGATTTTGTAACCAATATCCCAAGAATGGGGAAAAGGAAAGAAAAAAAGCCTTTGTATGGTATACTGCAGCGTTATCTGTGTAACTAAACTCAACCCAGCAACCTCCTTGTAAACTTGGAAATCTGTTTATAGATTTTATGGCTGCAGAAGAAATTATATCCTGCAGCATTAATATCATTAAGACTTAAGTACTTTTCCCAAGTGAATACACATGAAAAGTATCAAAGAAGAAAAAATTATCAAAATAAGAACTACAGCCGTGTCCCATAATTTGGGCAGATAGATATTTTGCTACCGAGGCAAAATTCTCAATAACCCAAGCATCAACCTATCAGATTAAGAAATATTCATAAGGGAAAAAGTAAGCTTAAACAGGATTTCATATGTATGAACTCACTTTTTGACGATTAATTATTCATCCTATTACCAAATAGTTATTGGAAATGGTTTAAGTTATAAAACCTGACTCTTATCAAATAGCTGGGATTAAATCTCAACAAAATTCATTCCCAGAAGTCATTTCTACGCAAGAATTGTTTCCATGCTTTTTCACCTGGGTTTTCATTTCGAGTTCAATTTTTTAAATAAAAATTTATACCACCCGCATCTACAATGGTAAAAACTGAGAAGGTAGGCACACATCTTAATCAAAGTGAAAAATGATGTCTAAGGATTATATGTAGCATATTTCAGCTAATGATACAACAACCTCTGAAATCCGTGTTGCAAATTTGGCTATTCAAAAGCCTCTGAATTTATAGCCTAAATCAGCATCACACTATTAAATCGGAATAGAAACATTGAAAAACATATGAACTGATGCCCAACTTTGATTAATCCAACATTAATAGCTACCTAATTCAACATTAAGAGTTGATAAGACAGCACATAAATCCAAAATCACAAACGCCCCAAATTTGAATAAAACAAAGATGCCATATATGGAACTCATCAGGAAGCCCTGGCTTTCCTGGGTAAGAAATTCTTCAAATCAAAGCAAAAAACCTAAAGATGGTTACCTGAATTCAATAAAAATTAAAATATAATTACTCTTAAGCATGCTTTTTTTTTTCAGGAATCAGAAAAACTTGAAAATATAACAAACAGTTTTTTACACCTCATGTATTTAATAGAGCTTGAATTTCTAAAGGGACAACTTGAAATCATATATGTAAGAGTTGTGTTCCCTTCGGCAGATAAAACTGAGAAAGAAAAATCTTTCTAAAATCTTAAGGCATGTTTGGTACTGTACTTAAATCTAATTTTTTTAAATTCAAAAACACTTTTTAAGTTTCAGGCCTTAAAAATTTGTTTGGTAGGACTATTTTCAAAAACTGAACTCAAGACTAACTCAAAAATGTAGTCTCTAAAAACATAAAAAGTGAGTTTTTAAACTTAAACTCACTCATTTCTTTCATCTCACTCCAAATCTATCTCTCTTTTCTTCTTTCTTTCTTTTTTTTAACCTTTTTCGTCTCTCCTCCAATCCAATCAAGTTTAAGTCATAAGATTTAAAAAATTTAAATCGCAAACCAATCAAGTTTTTGAGTCTTAAAAAAAATTGTTTTCAAGAAATATTCTTAAGAAATGTTTTGAGAAATGATAAAAATTTTCAAATAGGATACCAAACAGGCTCTTAAGAACTTTACATATTATCAATTTCCCAACAAAATACATTGGTTCCAACACTAACAACATAAAAACTTTTAAAATTGCAATCTAAACTAATGTTTTCCCTCTTCCTCTCCCTGTTTGTATTCCCTCTGTCACATAAAAGGTAGAAACACAAAGCTTTCTAAAATTCCAACGACTCCTCTCATTTCTTCCCAAAAAATACAAATCCATTTTAATCCAACAATTATCAGTGCATCTCCAAACTGGAAAAAAGCAGGACAGAAAATATAACAGCAGCATCACAAGTGCTTCAAAATAGTCACACCTTACTTTCTAACTCACTCGTATACTTGACTTTCTTTTCGTTCTACCTCAGAGCAAATTGTGTATTAGTTAAAGACCACAAAATCAAAATACTGGAAAGCCACAATTTACAACCCAAGCATATAAGATTAAGAAAAATCAGGCAAAAAATAGTTACATAGACCAAATAAAATCAACAAAACTAAGCCAAATGTAATCTGTAAAGATTTGGTACAACATAGAGACCAATTTCCCCTAGTTTAATTTTGATAAATGCAAAATGATCACAAATAACTCACTCAAAATTAGGAAAGCAAAAAAACCTAAAAACAACAAAATCTGAACAAAATGAAGAACAAAAATCGCAAACCACATTAGCAAAATTATTGAAAATAAAAAATCAACATGCATTAAAGCCAACAATAATCGGCAAAAGCAAGGAAATCAATTAGGAAAAAACGTTTTCGTTTCGAAATTCACCAATTTGATCCTCTTAGCAACGACTAATTGGAATCGGCAACGTGGAAACACCGAATTTTGATAATTTAATCTACAGGGCAGTGACCCATGGAGCAGAACCAAGCCTCAGAAAATTGCCTTCAGCCGGTTTCTATCATTTGACACATGCGGAAGCCAGAATCAGAAAGGCAACACAAATTGAGAGACAGCAGTGGAATGGAAAGAAAAGAGAAAGAAAATCAAAACTGCCAATTAAACCCATATTTAAATATTTTACCCCCAAAAAGATTAAAATCTAAGCATAGAAACAAAATACCTAATATTATAAAAACAAAATTCATATACAAAAACCATCCAAAATTCATATGCAAAAAGCATCTGAACATCGAAAACCACCAAGAAAAATTTAAAACAACGATACCAAAGAAGTAAAAAGAAAAAAAACACTCACCCAGGAACTGTAGACCTCTAACCCAAAAAATTGATTCTGATAAATCCAAAAAATGAACAAAATTCGTAGCGATTGAGGGATTTTGAACGCAAGAAATTTGTATCAACCAAACTTTTTTCCAGCAACCAAAAACAGGCTCACTGATTTCGCACAGATAATTTGGGAGAGAGATGAAAAGATGAGAGAGCAGTTTGAGGTAGGTAGAAAATTGATGAGAACGGCGAGAAAATAAACCAAATCCCTCAACAGGCGAGATAAAAAAGGTGTAGGACTTTTCAGGCAGCTGAAGACAGCCCACCTAGAGGGGCCAAAAATGACATTTAACTGTATAAAGCAATTCAGCAGCACCTAAACCCCAAACAAATCAAGGGCATTTCCGCCCTTTTACTATTGCTGAACAGTGCTAAAACTCAACTGAGTTTTAGTATTTCGAGCAGTTTTCTGACCAAACCATGGCTATTTATCGGTCGAAAAAATACCATTCTCTTTGTCTCGTCGAGAAGTATGGTTTTTGTTTTTGAATCGCTTCATTTCGTTGAGTATTGAAGAAGTTATGAACGTTTAAAGTTTACCTAGTTTCCGGCAAGTTTGCAAGTTTTCACTCGAACCAGTCAATTTTGAGGCTATTTTTTAGGCCATCTCCGGCAACGATTGGACTTTGTAATAGGTATAATCTTATTCTACAGTTTCCCATCTTCATTTTGATATATTATGAGTCGAATTTGGTTAAGAAACGATTGAGTTACGAAGCTTTGAAAATTGCCCCAAACTTCCGCAAGAGCTCCTGGACACTTAACAGAAGGACCAAAATGATGGAAAATCTCAGGACCACTTTCATCGATTTGGAATCTCAGGAACTAAAGTGATGAATTATGTAAATCTCAATGACCATTTTGACGATTTACCCTTAAAATTTTCGTCGGGCGAGGAAAGCTTTTGTGAATTTTTGTCAGCTTTATATTTGTTGGCAAAATGATATTTTCTAGTAGTAGTTTATGGACCAGGATCCTCTCCTGAGCTAAGGATAAGGATCCTATTGACCAAGGAGTGTGACCCGTTGAATGAAAATCCAACGGCTACAAACAGGAGATCACTTTAGAGTTATAATAATTATAGTTATTGGATTTTCATCTAACGACTCACACTCCTTAATCAGTAGGATCCTCATCCTTAGCTCAGGAGAGGATCCTGGTCCGTAGATTATGTTGGACTCCTATCTAAAACTTGAACCATTTACGCCACATACTCCAAAATATTCCACGTACTTCAGGGGTTTTTTGTCTTTATACTACCCCTAAGAAAAGTAAGAAAAATTGTGGAGGGATGTTGGCTTGGCTACCTAGCTAGCTCTTACTTTTCCTCCTTTCAAACGAGAGATTTTTCAGTGTAATCGTCATACGAGATGGTACATAACGTGTCTTTATATAAATTGTGGGATATATATATTAAAAGGTTAATAATTTAAAAATTAAAATTTTCCTCCACTTACATAGAAATACGTGATATACCATCCGTGTTCTTATCACAACTAAAAATTTCTCCTTCCAAACGTCCCCTTAATATCCTATCGGCTATAACGTCACTTCACTCTCCAACTCCTCCTTATAAATTCAGTCATTCTCTTCTAGTCTTTTCCTCACAAAAACTAAACCATATAGCAGTTAAATAATCACTTAAAAACATGGGGAGAGGAGAGTTCAAGGTGACGATGACCAACCAAGAAGTGGTGGCAGCTGCCTTGCCACTGCAAGAGTATTGGCTACCACTCTCCAACCTTGACTTGCTTTTGCCACCTTTGGACGTGGGAGTTTTCTTTTGCTACAAAAATAAGCAAAGCATGAGCTTTGGGTCCATGGTTGGGGTTCTGAAGAAGGCCATGTCTCAAGCTCTTGTGACTTTCTACGCCTTCTCTGGTGAGGTGGTGCCGAACTCTGACGGGGAGCCTGAGATTCTATGCAACAACCGTGGCGTTGATTTCACCGAAGCGTTTGCAGATATTGAGCTTAAGGAGCTCAACTTTTATGACCCTGATCAGAGCATTGAGGGCAAACTGGTGCCCAAGAAGAAGCATGGCGTCTTGGCTGTCCAGGTTTGTACCTAGCTACTATCATGTCATTTCCTGTTACATGTTTCGAACGTTTCTACTGTGTAGTTGAAATGTGCATGTATTACGGAATGTAATTATGAATATGAACTTGTAACACGTAACATATTTTAAAGGAACAGTACCTGTCACTTGAATCCACTCACCAAGTTTTTAACTGACCAAGTTTTTCTTTTTTCCTAAGTACGGATGATTCGCTTTGATAAAATATTTCCAACACCATGCGAGAAGGACAATTTTTTTGAAAGTGGTGTGATCAACTCATCTATTTTTACTTCTCACACACTTTTTGCAGTTTTCGATCTTCAAATCGAATGAATTGAAGAAGATTAATAGACAAAAGTTAACAAAAGCGCGTGGAAAGTTAAAAAGTGTGTGAATACCACGACTTCTTTTTCGAATTACTTACCGTAAAAAACTCTATGGTGCTTCGGGTTATAAAATACTCCGAGTATTGAACACCGACCCCCCCCCCCAACAAAAAAAAACAACATTTTTTCAGTTAAAAATAATTATATATTTTTTATTTAAAAAAGAAATTCCTAACATTATGGAAACAAAATAAATTACAGGTAACTGAGCTCAACTGTGGTGGTGTGGTGGTGGCATGCACGTTTGATCATCGCATAGCAGATGCCTACTCAACCAACATGTTTCTGGTCTCATGGGCTGAGATGGCTCAGTCCAAATCCCTCACTATCCAACCAACTTTTCGTCGTTCTTTGCTTAACCCTCGTCGTCCTGGTCACATCGACACCTCCCTAAACGACATGTACGTGCCCGTCACGGCGTTGCCGCCTCCCAGTAAAGGCCGTACTACTGATGATCATGACCATCTCATCAGCCGCATATACTATATCACATCCGAGCAGCTTGAAAATCTCCAAGCCCTAGCTACCTCCAATGGCTACAAAAGGACCAAGCTCGAGTCCTTCTGTGCATTCTTGTGGAAAATGGTAGCAAAAAGTGACACTAGTAATGATCGTGCCCAAAAATTATGTAAAATGGGCATTGTTGTTGATGGACGAACAAGATTAAGTGAGGGAAATTACCAAAACGACCATGCAACTCAAATGGCTGCATACTTTGGAAATGTGCTGTCTATTCCATTTGGTGGGGAAAATATTGAAGACCTAACAGAGAAGCCACTGAGTTGGGTAGCTGAGGAAGTCCATGATTTTTTGGAATGTGCTGTGACCAAGGAACATTTTTTGGGGTTGATAGATTGGGTTGAATCTCATAGACCAGTGCCAGGCTTGGCCAAAATATACTACAGTGGGAGCAAGGAGGGGCCAGCATTTGTTGTGTCGTCCGGCCAACGGTTCCCCAGCTCCAAGGTGGATTTCGGGTGGGGCTCGCCTGTTTTTGGGTCGTACCATTTCCCGTGGGGAGGCAGTGCTGGGTATGTTATGCCAATGCCAAGTCCAGTTGGTAATGGTGACTGGATTGTGTACATGCACATGATGAAAGGGCAGATGGAGTTGATGGAGAAAGAGGCTGCTCATGTGTTAAGGCCCTTGACTTTTGATTATCTTAATTAGGTAAGTTTAGATATAATCAAGTAGTGTTGCCTAGCTATTTCATTATTCCTTACCAGTAATCTAGCTCTTGCTGCAGTATATTGTATCTTCTTTGTATCAAAATCATGCAAGAGACTTTTGGTTTGCTTGGATATATATAATTAATATCAATATTAGTCATCTATGGTTGATATTAATCTTGTCCCAAACATTATTCCAATCTTTTTATTATTCAATCATGGTACATCTTTCTCTCACATTCTTCCAATCATGCGTTCAATTAATCCTTATGTAAAAGTTTCCTCAACTTTTGTCCATATTATTCTTTGGATATTATTACAAGCCACTTTTATGGACAGGGGATTTTTGAGAAATCCCTTCAATCTCTGCCTTTACAATCTCAGACTATATATTATTGTTTTTATCCAAAATGGTCTTTAAAATTTGCATAACTCCTCACTTTGGTTCTTGAGATTTGAAATCAATAGAATTGGTCCCTGAATTTGTCCACCATAAATCATTTTGGTCATTCCTTGAAAAATCTCCATTAAATAAGAATAGAATGACCAAAATACCCTTAATTTTTGTCAAATTATTTTGGTCCATTGTTTATTAAATTGAGGGTATATTTGTCATTTTGATCCTTATTTAACATAATTTTGCATTGAATGACCAAAATGATTGATGATGGACAATCTCAGGGACCACTTCTATTGATTTCAAATCTTAGGGACCACTTCTATTGATTTCAAATCTCAAGCACCAAAGTGATGTGTTATGCAAATCTCAGTGACCATTTTGACTAAAAAGCTGAATAATATTAATCACAATATTTCTCACTACGTACTTAGTATTATGATTTAGTGGCATTTTTCTTCATTTAGAAGTCAAAAGTCTTAGATTCGAATATATTATCAATTTCATACAATATTATTTTATTTAAGGGTTAAACTCTATTTACTATCCTCATGTTTCGTGGTTTTCAACATTTAGTATATCAAGTTTTTTTTCGTTCCAAAGTCATACCTAAAGTGTTAATTTTGGGATAGTCTCATTTATCTGTTAGTCAAACTGTTAATTCTCCCGTTAAGTGATGATGTGGTGTCCTTGTGGACAATGACTGAAAACCACATGTCATTAAAATAATTAATTAAATAAAAGTTATTAAAAAATAAAAACCCATCCTTTCCCCCCCCCCCCCGCGCCCCCAACCCAGAAGAAGAAGAAGAAGAAGAAGAAAAACCGAATCTCCAACCAAGAAGAAGAAGAAGAAAAAAAAAAGAAAAACCTAATCTGCAACCTAGAAGAAGAAGAAGAAAAAAAAAAAAAAAAGCAGCCCAAACCCATTTCATCCCCCTCTGCCCCTCGACCGTGAACGCGAACCCAAACCATGAACTCCATATTTTTGGGATTTTCAGTGTGGGTGAATTTCGAAAATACTTTGAGATGGGGAAAAAGAAGAAAAAAAAAATAGCACCCCAAACCCAATTCATCCCCGCCCCGCTACCGCGAACGCGAACCCAGACCATGAACTCCATATTTTTGGGATTTTCAATGTGGGTGAATTTCGAAAATACTTTGAGATGGGGAGTTTGAGTTTGAGATGATTTTGAGACTGGTTTTGTGGTAGATCTCCATTAATTTGGAAATGACGAACTGAGTTTTTTGTTCTTCTTCTTCTGGGTTCTTCTTCGTCTGTGTTAGGGGCGGGACTAGGTTTTTTTTTCCTCCTTCTTCTTCTTCTTCTAGGTTCTTGTTCTTGTTCTTCTTCTGGGTTGGGGGCGTGGGGGAAGAAG